CCCCCCCCCACGCATGACTCCCCCGGGGCTGACTCACCCCTCTGTGTGGTGCAGGGAGCCGATGCTCCCTCCTGCAGTACACCCGGCAGAGCAGCTAGCGCACTTCCAGAATCGCCGGAAGTGGTGCTAAGCTGCGGGACGTCTGTCCATTCCGGGAAGCCGACACTACCTCCATTTTCACTTGAGGTAGGTAGTGGGGCTTCTCTGGGGTTGGAGGGAAGTGGGGGCGGGGTGGACAGGACACCTCGCGATCAACTGGTCGAGGCCTCGCAATCGACCAGTCGATCGCGATCAACCTGTTGGTGACCACAGCCCTAGGGGATCAGCCTCGAGACTCCACTCACGTGGTCCTTAGCAGCTCTCTTCAGACATGGTGGGTTAAAATAGAAAAGCAGCTCTCCTCTTTCTGACACAGATAAAAACCCTTTAGAAAACCTCCGGTGACTGCATATCCCACCAGTCAGCTGCTTCAGCTGCTGCCACCACAGCCAATTACAGCAACCCACAGTCCAGGGAACAAAATAGCCACTTGGCTGCCTCCCTCAGCTTTCAAGGAGGGGGTAAGCGGCAGGAGGAGCTGTGAAATGCCACCTGGGGCTGCTGGGAATAGGGAGTAATTTTTCTTCAGACAACTTATGAAAGCTTCCAGATCACTGACCCTGGTTCTCATAGGGGACTTCAATCACCTGACATCCACTGGAAGACCAATACATCAGTACGTAAACCGTCCAGAAAGTTTATGGAGAATGTTGAGGACAACTTCCTGGTGCAAGTGCTGAAGGAACCAACTAGGGAGGAATTAGCAGGGGAAGTAGATGTGGGTGGCAACCTGGGCAACCTTGACGTACAGGATCCTGACCAAACAAAGACAGGTGAGCAGCAAAATACAGACCCTGGACTTCAGAAAAGCACACTTTGACTCCCTGAAAGAACTGATGGGAAGGATCCCCAGTGACATGAACAGGGAAAGGAGTCTAGGAGAACTTCCTGTATTTTAAAGAAGGCACAGGAACATACGATCCCGATTTGCAGTAAGAAAAGCAAATATGGTAGGTGACCAGATTGGCTTAACAGTGAAATCTTAAGAAGTGGAAACTTGGACAGATGACTAGGGAAGAGTTTAAATATATTGCTCGTGCATGCAAGGGTGTAATCAGGATGGCCAAAGTGTAGCTAGCAAGGGATGTGAAAGGTAATAAGAAAGGTTTCTACAGGCACGTTAGCAATAAGAAGGTGGTCATGGAAGCTATGGTTCCATAGGTAAGGTGAGTTTAGAGGCAGGTGAGGTGTGGAGTATGCTGGTCAGTTTATGCTGAGTTTCAGGAAGGCTGACCAGGGAGACCTCAAGGACCTCTGCAACTCACTTGTAAAGTTCCTGGAAAGAACAGAAGTTGTCTTCTGATGTGGGGAGGGGAGGCATCAAGGGCTATGTCTACACTCGCAGCTTCTTGCGCAAGAATATCTTGCGCAAGGGTTCTTGTTCAAGAAATCTTGTGCAAGAAAATGTCCACACCGCTATGTGTGTGCTGTGGTTTTGCGCAAGAGCTCCCATGGCAGTGTGGACGCTCTCTTGCGCAAGAAAGTTCTGACGGCCATTTTAGCCATAGGGCTTTCTTGCACAAGAAATCCCTGCTGAGTGTCCACACTGCCCTCTTGCGCAAGAGCTCCTGCGCAAGAGGGCTTACACCTGTTAAAAAAGAGCATAGCTCTTGCGCAAGAAGCCCTCTTACCACGCCGTACTGCAAATTTCCTTGCGCAAGAGCGGACAGTCAGTGTAGACACTCTGCGGATTCTTGCACAAGAATGGCCATACTTTCGCAAGAAGCCACGAGTGTAGACATAGCCAAGGTGTCCTCAGAAGAGGAGGATAAGTGTATTGGGGGATGGGAGGAAGCAGAAGACTCCTCGTTACTCAATGCTTGTTCCTCCTCCTCTTGATAGGCTGACCTGTCAAGTGGTGGCAGGGATATTGCTCTACATGAATGTGCTGTTGTTATCTAGAGTTGCACCTGCTTGGGATATTGGACTCGATACACTGCCCATGGGTCCCAATAGGGCCAGTTGGAATGGAATGGCATGGGAGGAGGCAGCCACTGTGGCAGTTGTAGTTGCACCTCTATTTGCTGCTGTTGTAGTTGGGATTGCTTCAGGGAAGAATGCCTTAGGGTATGGGTGCCGACCAAGGGCTCTTCGTCCTCATCGCTAGACCTCATCGCTAGACCTCATCGCTAGTGCCGAGCCCAGCGTAGCTGAGTGTAGAAAGCTGCTGGACGCGGGCATGCCACTGGTGCCAAACAGGAGTTGTGGGTGACAACAATACCCTGAGCTCCTCTGTGGTGGTGAATATGACCGGTACCCAGCATCTGTGATGGCAACTAAGATGGAATTATCACCGCTACCTGCGGTGCCAATGGTGCTGAATGGAGAACCATCAGTGCTGCATGTTTGTGCCTCTTCGGGGCCACGGGTGGTATAGGTGCTGACGGTACCGTGTGAGGCTTAGGCTTCTTCAGCATTGATGTGTGTGCCAATGGTGCCAGGGGCACCAATTTAGACTTAGCTTTGCCTGGCGCCTTGGTACTCGACTTTCTCAGGTCTTGGACCCTCAGGATCCGTGTGTGCCAGATGGTCCCAGAACCTCCCAGGATGGAGCTGTAGCAGGGGTCAGAGCAGGGGGTACTTTGGGTGCTTGCTCTCATTTTTTTGAGGGAGTCACTTTTCCCCGAGGAATAAGATCTCTTCCTAGATTGCTTGGAGGAAGAGTCTCTCAAGGTAGAACTGGCAGACATGGCCCAGAGGAACGGCTGACACAAGGGAGAGGAGTACTCTGGGTCCGAGGCAGGTCTCACTGTATTCTCAAGTGATAGACATTTCAGTTGATGCTCCCATGCCTTCTGCGTGCAAGCTGTTAACTGCCTGCAATGCTGGCACTGTGTGCCTGACCCAAACAGCACACGCACTGGTAATGGCTATCTGAGAAGGGAATAGATAGCCTGCAGGAGAGGCAACATTTGAATCCCGGGGAACCAGGCATCCCAGGCAGCAAGAGTATGCAAGGCCAAAAGCAGCGGTAGGACAGGAGAAAGATTTTTTTTTGTTAAGAAATTAGAAGAATACTCTCCGTAACTATTAACTAGAAAGAACTTTAACACTAACTATGAGATTAACAAAGAAAATTTCAAATTTCAAAGTGCTTTAGAAAAATTGGTGAGCAACTTTGGTTCTCATCGTTGCCAGTGGTGGCAGAGAAAGAATTGAAGGGACGGTTCGCTGCGCATGTGTGATAGTGGCATGCTGTCTGCCTCGTGTGTGCAGCCCACCAGAGGACACTGCTACTATAAATCTCCAACTAGGTGCACAGCAATGCCCCAAGACCTCAGGTGGAGACCTCAAAGAAGAACCGTTCACTTCTTAAATCTTTAGTCTAAATTTAGGCCCCCCTGTCCTACCCTAGTTGCTTGGGGGTAACAATGCATATTAGTAATCCCTTTGAATTCACTCATGTAAAAATAATGAGTCCTGTGGCACCTTAAAGACTAACAAATGTATTAGAGTATAAGCTCTCATGGGCGGCAGCCAACTTTACTCATGTATATAAGAACTTGGGGCATTAATTTGTAAAACATTTGAATTGGGGATTATCTTTTATTTA